CATAAACTTTTAAAAAGTATATTCCAAGGAGTACCACACGATAGACGGGAAATATCAAGTTATGAAATGCATCCTCAGACTGGGATCTAAATTTTGAAGAGGCAGGTGATGGAAGAGAATCCTCATAAAAGTTTCAGTGGTCACGGAGGTAAGATAAGGTACGGTAAGTACATAAGTAGTACAGTATGCAATTGGAGGTGGCATGTAACTACTCTACTCAAAACCAGTGTGAATCGGTCGCCAATCTCACTTTTAAGATTTTTAAAATCGACACAAATGCTGTTTTATGGTAAAATTATAGGATTTAAATGTATATCGCCATATTTTAGGTCTATATTCGAATGGAATAGATAGGTGGTCACGTTTTGTTTATAAGGTGATCTTCCCCATTAAAACTGCCAGAATTTGTGTCTATGCGTGTAAACTAGATGTTCTGAATTAATCCGTTTTAGTTAGCAACTCGATTTCCGTACGTAGGACGGGCCACCAACTCGTTAGTAATAACTTCAAAATTGAAATTTAAAATGTCAATAATAAATAAAAAGATATGTACCCACTACTTACCACATTTAAAGTCATAACTTAAACGTTTCTATTAAGGCCATAAAAGTTGAATTTCGTTTCTAAAGGCGTTGGCGGATGTGTAACTATTATATGCAACAGATGTAAAGATTAAAATGTATCTATTTTGTGTCCTATTCCCGTTGCAAAGCACGGGTACAACAGCTAGTAAATAATAAAATGTTAAGTATGCAATTAAAACTGAAAGAGATGGACTCCTGACACTGAAATAACATGGATATGTGACTGATAATCTTAAACCCGAATACAACATATTTTTTTTTTATAAACAACCAACATATCCAGGACACGCACAACGGAGAGAACGGGGTTCACTATTAAAAGAAGCAAGTATAGGAAAGCCAGAAGGGAAACGATCATTAGGAAGGCCCAAGAAGAGATGGTAGGATAGTGTCTCCATGGACGTCAGAGAAGTGGGGGCAGCATTGGAAGAGGCAGAAGATCGAGAGAGGTGGAGAGCAGTTGTTGGTGCGGCCAAATCCCGCCTTGGGCATAAATGGCCATGGGAGTGAGTGTAAACAACCAACATTAAAATTAAGCCCCTAACACCAACATAAACTAAATATTAGATTAATTAGAATATAGGGATGGACGAGATTGGATTTTTAGTTCGAGACGAGACGAGATTTTTTATTTCTCATAAAATTTCGAGACGAGATCGAGACGGGATTTCCCTTCTCATACACAACGGGAAATGCACGTTCGGAATTTTTACCTGATTTTGTAACATTGTTAGATGACTGTTTAAATACAAAAATAATGATAATAGGCAAGAATATTTACAATCTTATTAAAAAAACATCAGCATAACATTTTTTTATTAATCACGCCTAAATTATTAAAAATGCCTACGATTAGGAAACATAGTGATATCAGTTAGGATAGAGTTCAACTTATCCTAAAATAAAATAAATCATAAAATAAAATATAAATTTTTATAAAATAGTTACTTGTTTTGACTTTTTTATAGTAATAAAACATTCCTCACACTGCTAACACTTAAAAAAACTTCTCAAATGTAATTAAAATAATTAAAGTAATATTTACATTTGAAGAATTAATTAAATAAGAACGCCTTCGCAAAGGAAACGCAACTACAACACGCTCCTGTATTGCGGGTATTGCATTGACTTTCTGCAGGCGTTTTTTATTATTACTAGTGTCCCTGTTGCTCGAATTCGAGCAATTGCTAAGTATTACAGGCGTTATTTTAAAACAAATTTCAACCAAGTCAGTAAGTTTGTAGCAAACTTATCGACTGTTTACAATTAACATATGCTCTTCTTCTCACTTTTGATTTCTTACAACAGCTGGTGTTTCATAACAATTTTTGTTTCCAATGTTAATCTTATGGAGAAATATGAAACTTTAAAGGGCTCCATGGTCTCACTCTCTCATTATTTCCCTAAAAAGAAAGTTTCCTGCACAACTTCACGTTACCCTCTTTCCAATGACACCAAAAACATCTCAATCGGTTCAGTAGTTTCGGAGGAGTAATTGTCACAAAAAACCTGCTTGCGTATTAAATAAGTATAAGATTTTTTTTTTTTTTTAATTCTCGTCTCGATAAAAATCTCGGCCAAAAAGAAATCTTGTCTCGTGTAACGAGATTTAAAATTTCCCGAAATTTTGAGACTTGACCATCCCTATTAGAATATTTAGTATTTAATATTTCTTTTTGTTATGAAATATTGATATGGAACTGAATAGTACCTCGTTTCAGTTATAGTATTTAAGATGCCTTTTGAAGTTAAGAATACAGTTTACTTGTTTTATTACTGTTGATGATGACATGTTTGCTCTATTGCTACGAGCTTGTGTGGAAACAGTGTTATTAACAATAATAATGACAAAAATGTCAGCAGTTTCAAAAATAAAACTACCAAAATCTTCAATTTCAAAACTTTTGAATCTCGAAACTCGGTGATCAAAACTCAAAACCGAAACTTTTCCAAAGTTTTGTTGGTTTTGAGATTTGAGATTCAGTTTTGACCAACGAACACATAACAAAATAGAAGCGCTACTCGGAGCGCAGGAGCGTGGCAGTCTTACTAGCCGGCGAAACGGACAAAGATGGCGGCGCTAGCCTCCCTGTCGGGGAAATAAATATGTGCACTTAAGTTTGAGCTTAAAGATCTCGGAGATGAATAATCCAATTTTGTTGAAACAAAAATTAAATATAAGCTGGTTTAAATACATTTTACGTGGTAGCAATAAAAAAATCCGTTTACCAGAAAAATTTATATTGTTGAAAGATCCTAAAAAGTACCGGGTTTTAAGAAACTCTGCACTAACACTGAAGTTTAAAATTTAATTGTAAACAAACCACTGAGCCAATCGGCCTGCCAGATGCGGGAGAAAATTTTTGTTTACAAATATATATCTGTTTAAAAAACACCTTTGTTCGCTTAATCTGTCATATTGGTGTTATTTCTTGTGTCGCGACAAACACGATGGTATTTTGAACGAAATTTTTTAGCGTCTTATTAACGATGTTAGCATAGTTTTAAAAATAAACATCAGCATAAAAACTATCGTGAGTAAACATTTTAAAACGCATGGAACTGTTAACAATAAATCTACCAATAAGCCATACAAATTTCAGAAAGATTGGCTTAGTGGTTTGTTTATAATTAAGTTTTAAACTTCAGTGTTCTTAAAACCGGTACTTTTTAGAATCTTTCAACTATAAAAATTGTTCTGGTAAACGGAATGTTTTTTAATTGTTACCACGTAAAATGTATTTAAACCAGTTTATATTTAATTTTTGTCTCAACAAAATCGGATAATTAATCTCAAGAGATATTTAGGCTCAAACTCAAGCACATATTCATTTCCCCAACAGTAGTCCCGGCGTGTGCAGCGCGCTAGTCGTCTGCTATGCTTGGTGAGAATAAATGATATTAGTGTAAAGGAAAACAATGTAATTGAGGACTTGACGAACAAAGTACTTGGACAATGTATAGGAGTAAATTTGTTTCCAAATAGTACATATTTCTCAGGATATGAAACAATATGGACAAAAATCATTTTTGTTTAGTACCTAATTAAAATTATTGCTAAAAAATATTTCAATGTTAGAGTTCGCTACTACTGTAAAATAAGTAACGAAAGTCTTCACAAAAATAAAATCAGGCAACATCTCAATAAAACTGTAATTTTTCTGGGACAATAAATTGAGTGTAATTTTACAAATATATTTGGAAAGTTTAATTTAACTTACAGAATTATCTTGAGTTTATCCTGGATGATATTGAAAGCTAATTAGTCCTTAAAAAGTTTTACTAAACGGTTGAAAATTCTACATAGACAATATATTTGAAAATTTCTTTAATATATACAATATTACAGTACAACAGTATAAAACATTAAAACACTGCACGCTAAATGTATAGACGACGGCCCGGCGGCGCAGCGGGCGTGGCGCGGAGCAGCGGCAATGGATCCCTTTTGTACCTGATTTTTTAGAAAACCGAACATGATAAAAATGTTTGGTGAATCGGATAGTTAAATTTGGTTATTTATCCACAACTTTCCCGCTGACGAAATTTCTCTGACCAAAAAATAAAAAATTTCCTCGCAATACAACTTTTTCATGTCTGAATCTGAAAAATTAAACTACATAAGTATTAAACATATTTATAACTCAATTACTATCATAACTAATAACTTTATATTACCACCATCGTTTTCCTCAGTATCATATCTACAAGTGTGCAAAATTTCAGAATTTTTTGTTAACTATTAATGTTGTTTATGATCGTGTATTTGTCGCGAGGTTTTTAATGTGAACTGAGCTCGCGGGTCTTGGATTCAGGCTGTATGACGGACCAAGATGGCGGATTTGGCCACACTTTCAGTGCATTTGGTTAAGCGCCGTGTCCTCTCTATTATTATTATTATTATTATGTGCTCGCTGGTTTTGACACATCACTATTGGGGACTGTTTAAAACTTAGTGTATTGTGGGGGTTTGTCTTAGATTTAGTGAAATTGTACTGTAAGGCCTAGTGTAGTATTGTGGAAGGAAGATCAACTCAAAATTGTGCTTGATACTTTTTTGCTGTTTTTTTTATGGCGTATCCGTGTTTTTCGCTCCAGCTTTTTCGCTCCATTCGGTAATACTGAGGGCCTGCTAGCAGTTTAGTTTTATGCTGCTATCTGTTGGGTTCTTTTAAAACTACGTCCACAAAAACTGGAATGCAGAACATGCTACAATATGCCTCTTGGATGAAACTAAATTTAAACGTTTTTGCGCACTCAACCACACAGCCCATTAGCCACGGGCCACGGCCGACCATCGCGCAACCGCACTTAACGTGTTAAATAGGGACAAAGCATTCATTATTATATTTAATTTAAATAATACAATGTAAGTAGCCTATATAAGAACTTTTGCTCGATATTTTAAAGTGTCACCTTCAAGAACGGCCGCAGTGCCTGGTAGGCGGGACTTCCTCTCTGGCCTTGCAGGTGCAGGTGAGTGCCCAGACTTTGGATGAAGTCACAACACATATTGGTCACCTCGGGGCCTAGTGTCAGCAGTCCCATCTGTACTGTCAGCAACACACTGGCTAGCAGACCTTCTGACTGAGAGCACACCTTCTCTGGGTACATCTCGCATACAAACGTGATCATCTACAACATCATCATGTCTACATTTTATGTATACTCTTTAAAACAAAGTATATCTGAATTGAATTAAACAACATGACACTGGCCAGGACTAAAGTTCTGCCACAGACTAGTGAACTTGATTTGAAGGTACTAAAATAAAACGTAAATCCATTTTGTCAACGTCTTATGTAGTCAGAGCAATATTCAAATTCAAGTCATCTTTATTTGTAAGTAGCATATAATACATACATAAATAGTGTCAAAATACAGGTATGAAAAAGTATAATCAATGGTTTCTTAAAATTATCAATGCATAAATTAACATTATTTCCTACAACTCATCTAAGGAAGCTTTGTTGATACATTCATAGTTAGTTTATTTATTTAAGAGGGAGGTTTAGAAATTCATCCAACAAGTAAATTACTTCGTTAATTAAATAAGCTTTCAGTAGTCTTTTAAATTTTAATGAATTTTTTTCTTTATTAATATTTTCTGGGATTAATTTTAAAAACTGTTCACCAACATATGTTGGTTTTTTTCATAGAGCTTCAGTCTGTGCTGATTTTGCCTTGTAGAGTTCTTTTTTCTAGTGTTATAATGATGTGTGGGTTCGTGAGGGACATCATTAGGAATGTTGTTCTTTGCACACAAAATGACGTCAAGAACATATTGGCCATATAAACCGTCAGTATTTTTAACTGTTTGAAATGTTCTCTGGCCAAATCATCTTGATTCAATATCAGCATTACTCTTATAGACCTCTTTTGGAGTCTTAACATACCATCCAAATTTGCTTTTTTTGTTGCTCCAAATAAACAAATACCAAAAGAAATATGAGAATGTATGTAAACAAAATAAATATTTTTCAATGTTGTTAAATTACAATAAAAAGACATTCTTGAAAGCGCATGAATTCCAGAGTTCATTTTTGTCAAGATCTTGTTTACGTGTTCATTCCAATTAAGGTGTTTATCGATAGTCAGGCCAAGAAAATTTGTACTTGACTTTGGATCAACTATGTGGGAATCAAACACAATCATTGGTTCTATTTGACTTCTACTTTGTGCAGTTTTTAAATGTAATACAATTGGTTTTATCATGATTTAATGTTAAATTTCTAAGGTTTCCAAGTTCTATGAAAGCAGCCACTTCCGTTTGTTCTATTTTAGGTGTTGAAATGAAATTATAATCATCAGCATACAGGCATAGTTCACTGATAGGCTTAGGCCTACATGAAAGTGATTTGTCCATGTCCTTAACATAGCACAGGAAAAGCAATGGACCAAGATAGACCCTTGCGGAACGACATATTTTATTGTTTTTAAATCTGACGCTGACTTAATGATTTTATTGTTTTTTCGATGTGTTATTTCCACAGATTGAGTTTTATTTGTTAGATATGAATGAAACCATTGCAATGAATTATTTGATACTCCAATAGTTTCTAATTTTTTCAAAAGTAAAGAAAGTCATGAATATCCTCTGCAGTCATGCAGTGCATGTCTTCCACGGTGGCAGACAAATTGTGATCAAGTTCGTAGTCTTGAAAAACTCGTTAACATCTTTTACGAACAAGCCGACATTATTGTCTCTCACAACCGCAGCAAATTCGTGTACATCATCATGCAAACGCAGCAAAATCATCAATCTTAGAGCGCGCATCTTAGCTGATGCTTCCTGCAATGATGAAAAAACCCGACACTATACGACCCAAATTTCACCTGAAAATTATTTCCGGCCCAAACCGATCACTCAGGCTTAACGGTGGCCTGACTCGACCCGAAAATATTGGGGACCCTGCAAAGCCCTACGGTTTACGACAGTTTTTGTTGATTGTTGTCAACATGTTTATCCAATGTAGAAGTTTGTCACATTACTCATGATGTCTGGCATATCAATCTTTGAGACTCCAAGGATTGAAATTCATCAAAAATGTACTTCTTTCTTAAGTATAAGGGATTTAACTCATGTATTTAGCGGATAGATTGATTTCTAAACTTTAAAACCACTTCATAAAATATTTGATGACATAAATTTAGATAACATTTAAAATATGTCTCTAGGCTACATTCATTATTTAATTGTGACCACCTATATGTTAACAAAGGCAAAAGGGACCGAAGACGGGAGTGTCCCGAGAGAATCTGAATGCAATGTGCAAAGGTAAAATTCAAATCATCTTTATTTTCCTTACATGTATATGGGATAGGGGTCTGCGGGTCAGACTTTTTTGGTTCGGGTCGGGTCGGGTCGGGCCGATAATTTTGGTCCTCGGGTTTCGGGCCAAAATCGGGTCGGGCCAAAAATTATTAATTACCGGATTTTTTATATTTTTTTAACTCCTATCTGTGTTTTTAATATTACTTGAAAATAACATATGGGAAAAAAATGTATTTATGTATATTATTTCATGTTCATAACTTATTTACAGCTTAGAAGTTGCCTCAACTGCAAGAAAGAAGAAAATAATTTTTTTTATCAAGCCATTCTTTCCCATTTTCATAACTGTTTAAATATCTAAACAGCTATATTACAACAAGTTTGTAATGGAACTTAATATAAAAGGATCATAAACAAATCAATTAACTTTATCACAACATTAGGGCCTGTGGACTGGCTTCAAGACTGCAAGCAAGAAGAAAATAAAAATTCTATGTTTCCACCATGCAATATGAATCATTCATTCCCTGCCTCCTAACCTCCTAAGTACAAAAACCTCACACTTACAATAGCATTATTAGTTACATCATCATAAATAAAGAATTATCTATTATTGGCATTAGTAGGCCTACAGCTTTACATAGGAATTATTTTTTATAGGGCCTAAAATAGTAATAGACTAAGCAACATGACAAGTGGAGAACTCATTGAAGAAAAGATATTGTGTAAACTAATTTACTATAAAACTCTAAAACAGTAAAAATAGCACACATACATTGTTTATGGTATAGTTATAGTAAAGACTGTAAAAATTGCATATCATGTCATAGGTACACAGTTATAGATACACAGTTATAGGCACAGTTATAGGTATTGCAAGAGATCCTAAAACAACTGATTTTAGCTAATAAATGAAAAGAATTAAAAATTCATAAACTCAAGTCAAACAATATCACAATTATTAGGTACCCAAAAAGGAACTCTTAATATATAGAAAATTATATTAAATCAAGAGAAAAGAAAGTTAAATGCTAATTTGGCAACATAAGCAGACAGCAGAGACATTATAGTGCCCTAATTAGCAACACAACTCAATGTTTTTGAAACCGTGGGGTCTTTTTCTCGGAAGGAAGGGTAGTAGAATGTAAACAAAAAACCATGAATCACTCTCACAGCCAGGCCCGGGGACACTCAAGGTTACAGACCCTCCCCCTCCCCTTCCCTCTTACACAACCCGAGCCAGGCCCGGGGACACTCAAGGTCATAGACCCTCCCCCTCCCCCGCCCCTATTACACCACCTGGTTGTTCCAATTGCTGACAAAATGCAAGTAACGAAACAAGGAAGTAGAGACAAAAAGATATATTTTCTTTATTCAAAAATATAAAACTGTTACAGATAATTTATAAAGAAATTAATTCATGGTAGTTTGTGTCTTGTAAATATTGTATTGGATCTTAGAAATATCTTTTTTGAAACTCTATCTAACCTAAGAAAAAAATAATTTTACTGATGAAAACTTTCATAAAATAAAATTATAAAATATTTAGGCCTAACCTCTTTGTAGACTCGCTGATACTTGATACTTAAAAAAAAAATTAAATAGTGACCATACAATGCCTAACCAGACGATCAGAAGTGTTGTTTTGTTTTGTTACTGAATGACAAAAAGGACAATAGGAAAATAAAAGAACAAGATACAGATCTGTACACTATATCAGATATTTCTTTTGTTTATAATTTATTATGTAAATAAAATACTAAAATATATTTTAAACGGACGCGTTGCAGAAAGTCAACAGTCCCGGAAGGTCAAATAATTTATACCTGTGCCGCTAGGTCAAAAACTACAATGTTTGCAGTGTCTGTAGATCAAAAATCCTAGTAAGTCAAATAGTACAGTCCGAGCTAAAAACGCGGTCTATGTTAAAGCAATTGACTTATTGGGAATTTGACCTAATGCAACAGCAGTTTTAATATAACGAAATAAGATAAAATATAAGTTCAGTTTCGCTGAGTCAACAGTGCCGGAAGGTCAAAAGTATAATCTGTTAAAAACAGCGATAGTCCTCTCGACGCATGACTTCAATAATTTCGTGTTTTGGTGTACTTAAAGTTGTGCTAAAATTTTGAAAATTGGCACAGAGCTTCTTGGTTAGTCCTACTCGATGACTATTTTGTTGGAACTTTAAACTATTTACCGATCTAATTAATAAAAATTGATATGTATGGTGAAATAGTTTTAAATCGTGATTTCTAGCATGAAAAAAGTTAGCATGCGAGATTTTTTTTGTTTTTGGGTTAAGGAGGTTTTGTCTGGGGCAAAGTTGTAGCCAAAAGTGTGATGCGTAAAATATATTTTTTTGAATTTTTTACAATCAGTGGTTCAATAGATAACTTGGGTTGAAGAGGACTGCAAATTTAACATTTCGCAACGCATGGAAAGAACTACATCGTACGATGCGACTACTGAGTGGACTTTTAATTTACAGTTCTAAGAACAAGAAAAAGATTAATATACAGATCACCAGTACATTCATATTATTTATAAAACATCTTTCTGTATTACCAGCTTACATTTTTCACTTATAAGAATACATCATAAACAGGGTGTTAAAAATAAGCGGGGAGATACTTTACCTAGTAATTCCTTGGGTCAAAATAAACAGAAAATGAAGGATAACATTTTTTTCCAAAATCGTTTCGTTAACCAGATATCCGCCATTTTGTATTTTTTACATACAAATATTTATCTTTACACTTTTCCAACCGATGTTTATGAAACTTGGTACGTATCCAACTTGGTATGTAGGTAGGAGAGACCCATGTTATAACAAAGATTCATCTCGATTAACCCTAAA